GCGGTTTCCCAAGAAACCTTTTGACTAAAGAAGTAGGTTGGTATTTAGACAAAAAAAAGGTTTAAGAAATTTCTCTTCGATTTTCACACCTAGTAGCTTGATTTGATGGGCTCTACGTCTTCTTCCTTTCAGGTAACCAGTTCTCTCTCAGTGATATTGTTCGATTTCTAGTTCAGGCTGGACTTTGCTTGGGAGCCAAGTTAAACTCTTTTATGGTGATTCATACATTTGTGTCACGTTACTGAATCTGCTGTGAATGATTTTATGGCAGATGGGTGAGCTTGTAGCTGAAAAGCATGTACGTTACATTCTCACGGCAGAGAAGGTACTAGAAACTATGTCACCAACCTTTTTCTTCGTTCTCTTTATTTTATGTTACAATGATTATTGTAACTTGTGTACCTGCGAGAAGAAAGAGAGTTTTGAGTCGGAGGTGATGGATCATTTAAGAATGAATGGTGCTTACTGGGGACTCACCACTCTAGCCTTACTCGACAAGCTTGGCTCTGTTTCCGTAGACGAAGTTGTTTCCTGGGTCATGACCTGCCAGCACGAATTTATATATCTCTACCATACGGTTAGGCACTAAAAGGGAGACCATTGGACTTGCTATAGAATTTCACATTTTATCCTCAATCATAAGATATGGATTCAGTATAAAAGTTTAAAACAAGTGATGCTTCTCTGAGCAGGTGGCTTTGCAGGAAACATTGGACATGATCCACATGTTTTATACACACTTAGTGCTGTACAAATCTTGGCCCTCTTTGACAAACTAGACATTCTTGACGTTGGAAAAGTATCAAGCTGTATCCATTACCACTTAGACTTTTATGCTCATAGTTGAGCTTTCATATGATTATGCAATGAAGAATGCACTGCAAATTGCATATGATAGATATTATTATGGTTTCCTATATACACAATTAGATATTACTGCTTTGTCCTATCGTGTCTAATCATGATAGATAGAATTCACTGGATCGACAAAGAAAAGCTTGTCAAGTTCATCTTGGACTGTCAGGTTTGTCTCCAACATGTAAGGGAAAGTAGTATTGTTGCTTATTTAGGGCTCTCATCTTTCCTGATTTGATTAGGATTTAGAGAACGGAGGCATATCAGACAGACCTGACGATGCTGTTGATATCTTCCACACCTACTTTGGAGTTGCAGGTAACTTACTAACTTAGTTTTTGTCTCTTTAAGCTCATCTTTGTTGAATTAAGTCTCATTTCATCAGAATTTGGTGCAGGGATTTCCCTTCTTGAGTATCCTGGAGTCAAAGCAATTGATCCAGCTTACGCTTTGCCTGTTGATGTCATCAACCGGATCATCCTCAACAAATGAAGGCAGATAATTGCACAGATATAAAACACTAATATGGTCAGAATGAAGGCAGATCCTCGATCACATCCTTCATATCAGAAACAGTAGAGTATAACAGATTCTGCTTTTATTTGCTAGCTTTAACAGCTGCTACTGCAAGTTCAAGTTGATGATCTGACTCCTTGAAGTGTTTCTCAAGCGAAGCTAACTTCTCCAGAGTGAAGTCTTTTGCTCTGACACTCCAACTTGTGTTGAAGCTCCTTTTTACTTTCTTGTAGACTTCCAGCGAACTCCCTATCAATCCCCGGTTTGATTTGATGTTTCAGAAATTGACTCAGTTTGCTTCAGGTTCGGTTCGGTTCCTCCCTTCTTAAAAATCATATAAAAAACATAAATAAAGCAACGATTATTAAAAAAAATAATTAAATTTTACTTGGTTTGGTTGGACCGTTTGCTACCTTTGAAATTATATATATATATCAATCGGCTATAAAATAGAAATTTCTTGGATTCTTTCCTTTCTACTGCTTTCATACTAACAAAAAGTTGTGTGTTTCTTCTACTCTCCGTGGTTTCTGAGTCTTTGTTTTTTATATTTGAGAGTTGGTTGTGCTTTTTCTTGGATATCATTAAGTTTCTTCTCTTGCTAGTGCGCTTGTGGGACCTTTTTATTACTGTTGTTATTGTAATTCTCTGTGAGGAAACTTCAAGGAAGTAGGTCTACGGAGAAAAAGCAGGAGCCAATCCACTTTTTTCTATTGCTAGTGGTTTCATCATTTCTAATAAACGTTCTGTGCTCAATGTATACAAAGCTTCTCTGTAGTTTACTCCTCCACTTTGTTCCCTTTAAAGCTCTGTAATACTGATCCTCTTTTCAATATCATACTCACTAATGGATTCTTCTTTTTTCCTCACCACTATTGCTGCTGCAATAGGGCTCTTAACTCTTTTGATTGCTGCTGCAATACGGGTCTTAACTCTTTTTAAAAAACTCAGATTCCATCAGGATAAGGAAGAAAATGTTTCTTCTTCTTCATCTTCTTTGTCTCCTCCACCTTCTTCGTCTTCTCACATCTGGATGCATGATGTCTTTCCCAGTTTCCGTGGGGAAGATGTCCGCAGAAACTTTCTTAGTCACATTCAGGTGGAGTTTCAAAGAAAAGGAATCTATTGGTCCAGAGCTCATCAAGGCCATTAGAGAATCTAAGATAGCAATCATCTTGCTCTCTAGGAACTATGCCTCCTCAAAATGGTGTCTTGATGAACTTGTGGAGATTATGGAATGCAGAGAAGAGTTGGGTCAAACTGTCATAGCAGTTTTCTACGAAGTGGACCCATCTGATGTGAAAAAGTTAACCGGAGATTTTGGGAGAGTCTTTAAAAAAACTTGTGCTGGTAAATCAAAAGAATGCATTGAGAAATGGAGACAAGCTTTGGCAAAAGTGGCCACAGTAGCTGGTTATCATTCAAACAACTGGTTAGTTCTTTTCTTATTCCTGCTTTTCCTATGCATTTGTTATAACAATAGATTCATATTTATTTATGATTGTACATGATTATTAATGGATGCATTGAACTCTCCATTTGTTAGGGATAATGAAGCGGCCATGATCCAGAGGATCACCACTGATATTTCGAACATGCTGAATAATTTCACACCATCAAATGATTTCGACGGGTTAGTTGGGATGGAAGCTCATTTGAAAAAGATGGAACCATTGTTATGCCTAGACTCTGATGATGTGAGGATGATTGGGATTTGGGGTCCTCCTGGGATTGGGAAGACCACAATCGCTAGATTTGCATACAGCCAACTCTCTGATAGATTTCAATTGAGTGTCTTTATGGATGATCTCAAAGCAAACTATACAAGACTGTGTTCCGATGACTACAGCTTAAAGTTGCAACTACAACAACAGTTTATGTCTCAAATAACAAACGATAAGGCTATGGTTGTTTCTCATCTGGGAGTTGTGCCAAATAGGTTGAAGAACAAGAAAGTTCTTGTTGTTCTTGATGGCGTGGACCGGTCACTACAACTAGATGCGATAGCCAAAGAGACTCAGTGGTTTGGTCCGGGGAGTCGGATTATAATCACAGCACAGGATCAAAGACTTTTTAGAGCACATGGGGTCAATCATGTTTACAAGGTTGATTTTCCAACAACAGATGAGGCTCTCCAAATCTTTTGTACGTGTTGTTTTGGTCAAAAGTTCCCTAAAGATGGTTTTGAGGAGCTTGCTTGGGAAGTTACAAGACTTGCTGGTAAACTTCCTTTGGGGCTAAGGGTTATGGGTTCCTACTTTCGGGGAATGTCCAAGAAAGAGTGGATAAATTCGCTACCAAAATTAAGGACTAGCCTTGACGCTGATATTGGAAGCATTCTGAAGTTCAGCTATGATGCTTTAGATGATGAAGATAAAGATTTATTTCTTCATATAGCCTGCTTCTTTAACTATGTAGTGATTCACAAAGTGGAAGAGTATCTTGCAACGAATTTCTTGGGAGTGAGGCAGAGACTTAACGTCTTAGTTGAGAAATCTCTCATATCTATCGAATGGGGAGTTATAAGGATGCATAGTTTGCTAGAAAAACTAGGTAGAGAAATTGTTTGTAAGCAATCTATTGATGAGCCTGGACAGCGCCAGTTTCTGTATGACAAAAAAGAGATACTTGAAATACTGACTGGTGAATCAACAGTAAGTAGCTTGCATTGGATTGCTCCTTGTTTGTTCTTTTATTTGATAACTAACAAACTCTAGTTTCTTTGTTTGTTCCTTTATTTGATAACTAATAACAAACTCTAGTTTCTTGTTTGTCCATTTATTTCAGGGCAGTAAAAATGTCATAGGCATAAAATTAAACTACTACAGTGAGGAGGAAGAAAGAGGGATAGAAATAAGCGAGAAAGCCTTTGAAGGAATGTCAAATCTCCAATTCTTAAAAGTGTATGGTGATACCAATGCACTGCAATTAATTCATTGTCTGAACTATATATCTCCTAAACTTCGATTTCTACATTGGAATAAATTTCCAATGACTTGTTTTCCTTCTACCCTGCACGTGGAGTTCCTTGTCGAACTAATCTTGAATAACAGCCAGCTTGAGAAGTTGTGGGAAGGAATTAAAGTAAGTTAATTTGATTTATTTGGCTTTCTTTCGAATCTATCATTTGTATTTATCTATAAAAACCTGATCTAAGTGTGGTTCTCGTCTGTTTCATTACATAAGTGTCTAAAACAATCTATGTTTTTTGTAATTTGTCTGTACAGAGGCTTGGAAGTCTCAAGTGGATGGATTTGAGTGATTCTGTAAACTTGAAGGAGCTTCCTGATCTCTCAACTGCCACTAACCTTGAGATATTGAAACTTCGTGGTTGCTCGAGTCTAATCAAACTCCCTTCCCTGCGTGGAAATAGTCTGGAGGAATTAGATATTGGTGGATGCTCAAGCCTTGTAGAGTTTCCCTCCTTTATTGGGAATGCTGCCAATCTCCGAACATTGGACATTCGCAGTCTACCACAGTTGTTGGATCTTCCTTCCTTTATTGAGAATGCCATTAATCTAATACATATGGACCTTACTAATTGCTCAAATCTGGTGGAACTTCCTCTTTTCATTGGGAACCTTCAGAAGTTGCAGAGGCTGAGATTAAAAGGTTGCAGTAAGCTAGAGGTCCTTCCCACCAACACCAACTTGGAATCTTTGGATGTACTTAGTCTCTTTGATTGCTCCATGTTGAAACATTTTCCTGAGATCTCCACAAACATCAGAAAACTCTACCTCGTAGGAACTGCAATAGAACAAGTGCCTCCTTCGATCAGTTCATGGCCTCGTCTTGAAGAGTTGAAGATGTCATACTTTGAAAACCTAAAAGAATTCCCTCATGCTCTTGAAAGAATCACAGGCCTGTACTTAACCGACACAGAGATACGAGAGCTTCCTCGGTGGGTCAAGAAAATCTCTCGTCTGGAAACATTCGTGCTAAATGGATGCCGAAAGTTGGTATCACTCCCACCGATTTCAGAGTCCATCAGTTACATGGATGCAAGTAACTGCGAGTCTCTGGAGATACTAGAGTGCTCCTTTCACAATCCAATAGCTGAGCTCATCTTTGCAAACTGCTTCAAACTGAATCAAGAGGCGAGAGACCTCATCATCCAGAGTCGTAGTGAAGGGGCAGTCTTACCAGGTACACAAGTGCCTGCATACTTCACTCACCGAGCTACTAGTGGAGGTCCATTGATGCTCAAGTTGACTGAAAACCCTCTTAAAAAATTCATGACATTTCAAGCTTGCATCTTGCTGCTTACTAAAGGTGACCGTGAAGCTAGCTCTGAAGAGAAATCAAGGGTAGTGCAGGTTATGTTTAATAATAGAAGTCATACTCTATATCCGGCTTTAGCAGAGCATCTTTACATATTCCGAGTCGTAGCGGAGGTTGCTTCCAGCGAGCTTCTCTTTGAGTTCAAGCTGAAAAGGGATGATGTTTGGAAGATGGGAGAATGTGGGCTAGTCCAAGACTTGGAGTTCCCTTCATTTTGGTGAACACGGTGAGATCTTGAAACATAGAAAGTTATTGGGTCTCTGTTTTTTTGCTATCTACAGAAGCCAAGACGAAGACGGTGCGTTTTTTTTTTTTTTGGCTTTTTCTTTTTTTTTCTCTTCTCAATGTTCATTACTTCAGAATCCATGCTTTTGTACTTAACTGAAACAAGTAACAACAAGATTTCATTGTGGCTTAGGATTGTAACTAATTACCTTTCAAGTATTCTGAATGCTTATGGTTCCTTTTCATTCTTTGTTCATATGACACTGTTTTCAACTATTCTAAAATTTGAAAATAGTAATGTTTTAGAATTTAAGGATCTGTATGTTTTTTCGTTAATGGGGTTGTTTTAAGATCATTTGCCATTACTTTGGTGTTTTAGGAGTGAGGTTGGAAAGCTTCGGAGCTGCGTCTAAAGTCATGGGATATGATCTTCAAAAAGAAAAGGTTGATGTTTGTCATTATGATGTTTCCAGATCCTGAACGCATGACAGAGGTAAATACTTTGCTGGCTTTTTTAACCCTCGAAGAATTTTTTTTCTTTTTTTTCAAAGGTTGATGATGTGTGCTGTGACATGAAATGTGAATCTTTATCTCAACAAAATGGATGTATCTGAAATTCAAATGTAGGTGAGGAGAGCAATTGAATAACCGGATCCAAGAAGATGAATTGAGATGAAAAGAATGGTAAACTCTATGTGACTCGAACCAATATAGAGACTCTGGAAAACAAATAAGTAACACTTAGTATATATATATAATAGTATCGAAGAGGTTGAAGAAGATTTGTATTTGTTTTTTCTACTTTTGTCTATTGCTTGTTAGAGTGATGTGCACATTTTCCCTGTCTTTGAACGTAATCCAATGTCTTAACGATCAGAGAGCAAATAAGAAAAGGTTTGTTTCCTCTGTCATTACTCAAAATCGCGAGTAGAGTCAAAGCTTCTTTCTCTTCTCTTCACTCATTATCAGCTTATATCTCTTCCATTTCATATAGGTATCTTCTGAAAGTAAAAGAGTAGGAAAGATTTAGTACAACCCATATTACTATTCCACAAACCAAATATGCAAATAACATGAAACCAAAAAGAAACAGTACCTTTATGGTTCCCGTCGCCGCTACATCTTCACTTTCATCAATCTCTAGCTCATGAACTCTTGTTTGAGTTTCATTTCCTGCAGCTTTATTTACAGAACTAACAAAAATAATTGGCTCCAGTCTTATCTCTTACCTTAAGCAGCTGTTGTTTTTTTTGGTTCTTGGAACATGATGTAATAATGAGTATGATTCACCATTATGCTGTATATCCACGGAAGAAGATACCCCCCACCACATCCCATGGTTTTAAAAAAGTTTGCAACTGTGTTAGGACCAGATCATCAAAAATTATCTCAATCATTATTATTAGTTAAAGATTAAACGAAAAAAGCACATCAGGATTTTAAGATTTAACTTTTAGATCAAAGCTTGTGTGCTTTACAACTTGAAAAGGTCGCATTATGTTGTGTTGTATGTAAGAGTGTTCCAAACTTCCAATACTAACTTCAATTCCATGGACTATAACTTACCAAAAAATAGATAAGGGGTTAAATCGAAAACTATTAAAAACAATAAACCATATTTTGCAATTATTTTCTTTTCTCATAAACCCTAGTACATTGACATTGAAGGTGGTTTTAGTTCAGCTGTTCTGTCTTTCTTTCTGCTAAGTTTGTGTTTCGAGCCGACTCCTCTTCAATGGAGTCACTAGCGGTCGTCGAATCGTGCTTGAAAGACGATGAACAAGAGAGACCATCATCGGACGGCTGCAAACAAGTCCCGTGGCTGAACTGGGAAGAGTGGGACTTTGTCAGAGAGTCTCTCTTCTCTCCTTCTCCTCATAGATTCGCTTTTGCCTTGCAAAGGGTATGTCTAAAGTTTTGACTTCTATATCCAAAAGTTTAGTAAAGCTTACTCCTCTAGACCCAAAGAGCTTAATGGAAGTTGAGAGATAACTGTAAATTATTGATTTTTAATATGAAACTGTTTAGTAAAGCTTACTCTTTTAGACCCAAGGAGCTTAATGGAAGTTGAGATTCATTGTAAAGTGTTGATTTTTATATGGTTTTGATGGAATCTCTGTTGTGGGTGTTTCAGGTTAACACATGGAGAAGTAGAGGGTGTCTTCCAGGGCCTGTTGATGTTACTTGTTCCCTTCTTGAAATTCAGTTCAAAGATGGCTTTATTGAGTAAGTCTATCTATGATCTTTTTGTTGTTGTCTCTTTCATAACATTGTTTGGTTGTTTATTGTTTTTTTTGTTATTGTATTTTGAAAAAAAAAAAAGGAGAGAGGAACAACCCGCAGATGCATTGTATTCAGAGCATTTACTTCAGATGCTGTATACAATGGGGATACTCAGGTGGTTATGATTTTTCCTACTCGTTCTTGATATGTTTTGGTTTCATGGAGCTTTTTTCTCTTTGTTGACTCACGTCTTTGTGGTTGAAGGCTTGTGAACTGTCTTCTAGAGAAGACAAGGAAGAGAGATACAACTTCAATTGCGGTGGCAGCTAGAGAAATTGGTATCCCTCGTAAATTGATCGATCTTCGTCATGGTAAGAATCTTTGTGTTGCCTTTCCTTCCCTGTGTACTTTCAACTTTTGGATGCTGCTTTGTGCTTATGCTTATGCTGATTTGATTGTTCTGATTGTAGAGGGTTCTCACCGTGAGCTCCCTTCTCTCCTTGTGCTTCGAGATGCTTCATATGAGGTAGAGTTTGTTTACTTCTTAATTCTATTTTGGCGCTCCAGATTTTATTGTTGCAAGTATTATAGCTTCTTACTTCTTTCAGTTGATTGCATGCTTTCCTTGGTCATTGTAGGCACTTGAATGGTTAAAATCTTTTTATTGGGAGCCTCAAAAGGCTCAAATTCCATTGAAGAGAGATGGAACTGCTAGCATCAGAAGAGAAGTCAAAACCAAACTCCGGAAACTTTCTTTATGCTTCCAAATTAAGCAGGATCCTCAATATGACTCCCCTTTGGTCAAAGAAAAATGTAAGACAACTCATCTTTCCAAGCAGAAACACAGAATGAACTTATATGTGTCTCCCTTCTTGTACAAGATGGTGAAGTAATTTAGATGATAAACTATTCAGTTGCATTTCTCTAATTTTGTGTGTTTCAGGTTCTAATAAAAGGATAAGGAAGATAGTGAGCAGCCTTGTTGAGCTATACCCTTCTTTCTCGGCAGAGATCTCATCTGTGCTGCTTGAATTTTTACTCAAGGCTTTGGATTCTTCAAAGTCTGCAGAGGATCAGCCTGGCCAAGATATCAGGGTCTTTCTTGATGTATGGAAACCTGTAATCATGGAGTTCTCCAACAGAGAACCTGAGTTGTTATTGACTCTACTCAAGGCAGTTCTTGATATGATCCAAAATAATGAACAGAGAAGATATGAAACAGGTAAAATATTGTTTTCTCAATTTAAACTCCAGATTGTTGCTACCTCGTTATTAACTTGCTTGATATGTTTGTTGTTTTTTCCAGATGTGAATCTTACAGATAAGTCAGCAGAAGAAGCTTTTCAAGCTGAGCAGCTCCCTTGCTTGTTTGCATGGCTTGTGGGTCTTCTCACTGTGTCAAAGCATTTTCAGAGGAACAGTTCTCTAGAAGTGACACCTCCCAGCACATTCCTTATGGAACTTATACGTAAATGTCTCCTACTGGGAGCCTTAGGACATGAGCTGGTTTTGAAATCAGGTTGTGTGCTTGGGGAGATTGTGGGAGGGCGTGTCTTGAAGGAGAAGCTGAAAAAACTCCCTATAATGGATAAAAGCTCCACAGATGTTCCATCAAAACAGAGTTCTTCTACTCTTGTAACAACTCCTACGACGCTTCGTGAGCAAGAGAAGAGTCTCGGAAGGGCAGGCAAGAGACTCGAGTTAGTCAAACTTCAACTCTCAAAGAAGAAAGGAAACGACACAGAGAAAGCCAATAATGGATGGAGAAAGGCTAAAACATGGAGCCCTTGTCCAATTGGTATGTTGCCTCAGATCATTGGATCTTCTGGACGTTTACCTCTTCTGGACCCTCAGGATTCTCATACAATCTCAAAACAAGCACAAGGTAACAACAATGTCAAACGAGGAGCAGAGTGCAACAGTCAGCAACTGGAGAACTCACCATTCAAAAGAGCAAGGAAGAGTGCAGAGGATCTCAGCCCAAATGACTCGATATTGGAAACACATGAGGAAGAAGCTGAGATGGATATAGAACATCCAAATGAGAAATCTGAAAGTGAATCAGAAGGGAATATGATGTTGAAGGATGAAGAGGAAGGCATAGGGTGCCTTATGATAGGTGGTTTGTGGGAAAGGGTAAAAGATGGAGAGCAACTTAGGATTGCTTCTTTAGTTAAAATTTGTGGTTGATTGAAGATTTTGCAAACCTTTCACAAGCAATTACTAGAACTGATATTTTATGTGACATCCTTAAAAAAATAGTAGATCATTTTCAATTAAATTGTGGAATACAGATGTTGACAAGAAAAAAGTTGTGGAATACAGATATTACGGTATAATTGGATTAAGATTTCTTTTTTCAACAACATTAATTGGATAACTAATTATTTTACATGAATAGTAAACATTGAGAGTAGTATTGATCTTATAGACAGAAAAAGAGATGGAATGAAACACTCCAAAGACCAAAATGTTACAAAGCTGGCACCAAATCAAATGTAATACAAGAGTTCTGCTTCTTCTTCGAGGAATGAATCACCATTTAGAATTTTTTTAACCTACAAAGCAAATCCTCTTGTTCAATATCAACACAAAAAGGGGAAACAAATATTGTAAGCAATCCTTATTTGTTGTGTGTTAACACTATCCCTTCAACAGTCTGTCTTTTTTTTCTTCTTTTCTGCTTATTGAACAAGATGCTTACCTAATATATAGTCTACAGTGAGTTGAAAACCGCTTCTAAACCTCTTCCATGACACCTACAGGATTGCAGAATACAAAATTGGGAATCTCTACCAATTTTATTTAGCCAGCAACCCTTATAGCACCCATCTCATCAAGCTTTGAGCTCCTATGCTGCAAACGAGATAAATCGACGAATCAATAAATTTACCAAAGACGTTCTATCTAGTCTCTGAAAGCTTGAACTATGGTGGGAACTTCAAGTCAAATTTGAGCCCTCTGCAGTGCCATTACCTTGTTTTTCTTGTGCCTATGAATGTCATTTAGATCTTCATCCCCATCGTGTTTCCTTTTCTGAAAATATCAGCGCTCCATGTGATTTTCATCAGATCAGAAAACGAACAATATACATAAAGAGCTGCCTAAGATCTTCATTAAGCAATTTTTCTTTGGCAAGAAAGACAGCTGCAACAAGCAGACGTGTCTTACCTTATCATGATGTTTCTTAGAGTGATCACCCGAATCATGGTGGCCGTTTTTTTCCTTTTTCCTGTCACGGTCCTTGTCTTTATCTTTATCTTTGCTTCTGTCTTTATGCCTGTGCTTGTGCTTCTTATGCTCTCTATCTTTGTCCTTATCCTTGTCCCTGTGTTTTTTATGTTTCCTATCCTTATCTTTGGACTCACGTTTTGACTTTGGAGGAACTGTTGGAGCTCCCTTCTCTGCCTGAAAGAAAAATCAGTACGTCTTAGTCAATCATCTTCAAAGGATATGCAGTTGTATATAACATGACATTCATTACTGAACCCATTTTCAAGTACCAAGAGATAGAGCAGGTTCTTACTAGAGGCAATTCAACAGGAGTCACATCATTAAGTTGGAAAGCCTCCTTAAGCCCATCCATATCAAAAGGTTGGATGCGTGTATTACTCTCCCGGCTCTGTGACGTATTATTCTGAATAAGCTGATCTAACTGCATTCCTTCTCCTTTTCTAATCTCAGTGTCCCCAACCACATCATGAAGATAATGAGAATCCGACAGAGACGCAGAGAGCGATCTTTTGCAAAAGAACTCATGGTGTTGCAATAACTTGTATTGAGATATAAGATCCACAGCACCACACAACTCTCTCGGACCTGCACTTATATAATCCACCAGCACATTGACCTCAACGGTGACATGATTATAGAAACTCCACATTTTAAAATACTTTACCTCCAAATTTGGTACTTTCAGGTTCCATCTTATTTATCGAACTGCTCTCAATTGCTTTTGCATGATTACTCTGATATTATGTATCCAGCAAAATGACAAAAACAAATACATAAGTACACGAAACCATTTGCAATTTCAGATTCTTTAATGCATAAACTAACTACTTGTAGCCCAAACAATACAAAACCACTAGCTCACATTGCATTAGTGATAATAGTCTCAACAAAACTAAGAGCTAAAAAAAAATCTGAATTTTAGCATAATTTAATATAAAAACTCTCCCAAATCTACTGAAACCTCGATAGTAACAAAGTCCATGACTTTTGGAGCTAGTCAACAAGAAAGTTTCTTCCTTTTTTTGTGTTATCAATACCAAAAAGTTGACACCTTTAGAGTTTATAGAGCGAAAAATGATGAATTCGAAAGCAAAACAAGACAAAGCCCAACGATTAAGCACAATCTCTGATTCAATTGAATATTTGAAAGAGAAGAAGCGGAGAGAAAGAAGGAGACATGAATACATACACGTTAAGACAAAGCCCAGATCTCGTGGAGAAATCAATCTCTAGCTACGGAGTTTTATCTAATTCCTCTACGAATCAGCAAAAGAAGGGAAACGAGAGAAAGTGGGTTGGTCAGATTTCCCGCGCAAATTTGATTAGAGCAGAAGTGATAGGGGGAAAGAGAGGACAGAGATCGAGACAGGGACTACTTCTTCCTCCTTTAGGGTTTGGTTTCTTCAGAGTTTCTGTTTCCTCTTAACCAATCGGGTAAATATTCTCTCTCTCTTTCTTTCTTTTTTATTTATTTTATTTATTTTTGCTTCTCAGCCTTCTTTTACTTATTTTTGAAGATGCCTCGTGGGCCTCATGCGACCAGGGCCCAGCCCAATTACACTGAGGCTAACCCTCTCAGTAGTCTAGAAGCTCCATACTATGCACATATGTATACAGTTTCTCTTATTTCTTTTTTTTTTTTCCTAGAAACTTTCACAAATGTATACAAAGGATATAGTGTTCCAAAAAAAAAATATACAAAGGATTTAGAGTACTATCTTTTACTGTTTAAGAAAAAAACATTTTATTGAACCTCTTCCATTCTCTTTAAAAAACAAAATATGTTTGTACTTTAAGTTTAAGAAAACAAAGTATTCTCATTATTCATTAACATCCGAAAAAACATATATACTATTGAGATAGGCTTCAAAACTGATACAAGAGAGGTAATCAAATATATATATATATTATATTTGTACAATTGTACTTTCAGTTTAAGAAATAAATTACTCATTAACATCCAAAACTAATTGAGAATGCTTCAAAATTGATGTCATCAAACTATCAATGATTTGTTTCTTCTTAGTCATGAAATTGTTCAAATCTTGTTTCAAGCAGAAAAAAGAGATTGATCCATGATTAGATAAAATAAGAAATTCAAATTTGTACAAATGTTTTTCTTGTCAAATGTGTATATAGTTCTTTCCTCTTAATTCGTAATAAAAACAAAACAAAAAGGGTTTAATATTCCACAAAGACAAGATGGAATATGATAAAAGCAGATGTATATATATAAATAAGAGGGGACATTCAAGTGGGAAGTGGATTTTTTTCTTTCATGTGTGTGAGTGTAGATGTGGGTGAGGAATAACACAATGAAAAAAGGGAATGAAGACAGACAACATCATTCTCCCCAAAGAAAGCTAAGTCTTAGAATCATCACTCCAATTCCCCTTTTTGGCCCCTTCTTCCTCCTTTTTTTTTGTATCTCATTCTTCTTTGACCCTTCACTTAATTACTCTCAACATGCTTTTTAACACCTTCATTACTCTCCCCTAAGCTAACCATTATAAAAAAAGATTAATTACACTTACTTATTACCACTGATCAATTTAATCCAGCTAATATCTTTGGAAATGATTCAACTAAAGCCAGTTAAAAAAATGATAATACAAAAACTCTAGTTTTATTCTCTTTGTTGTATTATAAAAGTATAGATATAGATGAAGAAAAAAATAAAGGGAGAGCAGCAAACTTTTGGAGCAAGTCATAGACTCAGGTTAAAAGCTCCCTAGCTTTTCTTCCATCACTTTCATTCTTCTCTTCTCATTCTATGAGACTTACACAAAGAATTTAATTGAAGAGATCTTGATCGGAATATTTTGATTATTATTCCCTCCTGTTTATTTATTTTCTGAAAATCAATTCTAAAACTCATCTCTCGTATTTATATATAGAAACTCTATATATCTTGAAGATTTTGAAGAGATGAGAAATTACTACTCCAGAAGAAAATCTAGGGAACATATAACTACTGTTGCCTTTATCATCCTTCTTCTTCTTCTGTTTCTGTTTCTTTACGCTAAAGCTTCATCGTCATCCTCTCCTGCTGGTATTCATCATCACTCAACTCATGGGAGCTTAAAGAAACCTAGAGATTTGGATCCAAAGCCTCATGATCTTAATGACAATGCTGCGTCAAGAGGATCAAGAATATATACAAATGAAGGTGGTGAGAATGTTTTTGAAGATGGAAAGAGAAGGGTCTTCACAGGTCCTAATCCTTTGCACAATAAATAATTCTTTTTTGCTTTAACAAATTTTGTGAATTTTTGTCTGAATAAATATGTGCAAACAAAACCCTAAACCATATTTATTTACTTTGTATTACACTGATATACATTATATCGTACGTGATCTGCCATGATTTGTAACTTTTATATATGTTCTATTTGAAGGAATGAGATTTTAAAAGTGCTGATCAACGACCTTCTTGGTTTTCTTTCTCTATGATGATCATCTAATCAAAGATGAGTATCATTTGTTTATTACTAATTTGCATGATAATCATATCTTCCCAAATAGCATGAACTGGAAATTTCGTGTGGTACAAAATATTTTGATATGTAATGATAAAATGAACATCATTGTTGACGCCAATGAAGAAAAAGAAAGAATGAACATCATTGTTCCATTGAAATTATGACAAAGCTAGTCGCTTACAGAGTTGGATGTGAAAGATATCTGATCACAACAGGCTTTCCATGCTTGCAACTTACAATAATAGCTGTATAAAGACAACTACTTAGTAGTATGGTAAAACCTTGTAATACACTAATTAACGTCAAGTGTGAGGAAAAGAGAAATTAAACATACAAAATGTGAGCTTCATCTGCAACAGAAACGACAGTTCTTAGATTTAACCTGAAACAGTTGGTAGTAGACAGTATAACTTTATTTACCGCGACTCATACACGATGCATTTGTTACTGACATTACATTTTACTAGGTGTGGTCAATATGTAAGAAACAGGACGAGAGCTGTCGGAATAATATACGACCAAGGAAATAATGGACGAGATAACAAATCTTATTACATTCTCTTTGAAGATTCGAGATGAAATTGTGTAGGGACAGGAAGTAGATTTTCCACAGTCGAAATCAAAACAAAAACGAGAAAAAAACATTTGTAAATATACAAAATTAATTAACAAAATAACGACTAAATATGGAGAATTTGGAAAAAAAACTTGCTCTTTCCACATAAGAGAAATCATGTCTCAAACATAACTTTTTCTACCAAGTAAGATGAGAATCATAATTGGATGAACACGAGAAGAGATTTTTGACCACTCATACCTAATTGCGATAATCAAAAAGCAAAAGAGAGAGTCGAAGTATCTCCACGTAATCAAAACCTTTGGAAGCATATAGTAATGAAGACATGAATTTTTAAGAGTTTAATAAGTATCGCTTTGCAGCTTCTGGATCCAGCTCTTCATACACCTGAAACCAAAACACACATGATAAGAAAATGTACTCGGGAATTAGTAATGATCTGCAATAACGTCTTTAAAAGATAAGAAGATATAATGTGTGTGAGAGTGAGACATACAAGTTTCTTGTGGAGTTTCTCGAAGGCCTTGCAAAATCTCTCTGCTTCAACCTTACCAACCTGGAACGATGTTCATTGAGGTTTTATAATCAGTTTAAGATCCCGAATATAAATAGTGGAATCAAAGATGAACAAGAGTCAGCTAGACTAGAAGTATCTAAGTTATAAACTTCGTGTACTAAAACTAATTGCTACCACTCTATAGACAAACATAAGACTATAAATCTCCTTGCCACAACAGAAACGTTCAAAAAAGTCACTGGCGATAATTTACCTTCTTTTCAGCAGCCGCTTTCAGCTTATCCCAGAATGTATCTGTATAAAATGTCTACAAATTAGGACAATGGATACAAAATCATGCAGCAAGAAAAAAACAATGCATTAAGATTTCTGAAGAAGCAAAAGAAACCGCATGCTTATTCAACAACTATGTGTTAAGCCCAAAAAAAAAAAAATACATGTATGAATATGTTGAGTGTTTCGGCTAAAAGGAACATGGATGGTTTCATTTGATTGGTCAGATCACGTAAAAACCATATCCAAAGTAAGCTGAGGAAAACACAGATGACATACACAAAATTACAAAAATGAAATGTTATAACTGGATCACATGTCTAGCTAGCATTCTAAGGTAATAATGAGTTCACTTCGTCTGTCTTGAAACACACAACAAAAGCTAACAAGTAAGGAACTTGCAATTATCTTGATCCAACCCATATTAATACACAAATCACAACGATTACCAAAGAAATTTGTGACACAGATTTTGTGATTTATTTTCACTCAATACAGTTAGACACATTTGAGTAACAAAAAATGGGTTTTAGAGAGAAAGCTATTGATTTCCTTCATTAGAGAGAAAAGGAGGCATACCTTGATTAACCTTCCGATCGTTTAAGTCTTCTGGCTCAGCAACACTGGGTGCATCATGCCATTCACTTACCTCCTATAAAAATGGTTCCAAGTGTCATCATCACATGACAAACGTTCAACATCATAAATCAAAAAAAAAAAAAATCAGTGAAAGACCTCAGAAGGTACCTCTCGCTCAACAACTGAGAGTGAAGTTGATTGCTTTGAACTTGATGAATCCAAATCAGCCTGAAACCAGAACAAAAACAGACAGAGTTATAAATTTGTAATTGTGCATTCAAACAATCTTAAGAACACTCCATCACTAACTACTCCCAAAATCTCAGGAGCGTCAAAGATGTTGACTTACTAGACTACTACTAAAGATCAGATTAAAAACCTAAGAGGCAAGCAGCAGCAAGCAAAAAAAAAATAGATTGTTCATAGAAATAGGGAAGAGAGAAGAGAGATTTTACACGGTAGTCGCGAGAACGCACGACGGGGAAGAGTTGGAGACGGCTACGAAACTCTTGTTCATCCATGGCTTCTCTCAAATCTGAGTGTTCTAAACTATGATCTGCTTCTCTCTCTCTTGAGGCTAGGCTGGGCATTCGGGTTCTCGGTTCGGATCAGTTCGGATTATTCGGTTTTCGAGTTATTCGGGTTGAGGTATTTAGGAACCGTTTAGGAACCGGGAATTTTTTGGATCGAATCAGTTCGGATAATGTCGGGTTTGGATCGGGTTTCTATTTATTTATAAAACCTAAAGTGGAACCGAATTAGAAATAGTTCGGGTTTTGTTCGGGTTTAAAGCCCAAAAACAAGAAAAAAGAACCAAAAAACTGAGTTAAACCCAGAAAATATTCGGATAATTTAGGTTTTTGGATTTTTTTTATTTAAAAATTACATTTTATACATATTAAAATTAAAAATAATTAATATTTTTTATTATATTTACAATATTCGGGTACCCGTTCGGTTCTCGGTTTGGTCTCGTTCGGTTTCGGTTTTCCGGATTTAGAAAAATAGGAACCGTTCGGATTTTTGTAGTTTTCGATCTGGTTTCAGTGTCGGTTTTTTCGGTTCGGCTTCAGTTCGGTTTTCGGATAAAATGCCCATGGCTACTTGAGGCTTTGGAAATTTTCTTAATTAAATAAATTCAAATTTACAAAACGTCCTTTATTTTAATCTGTTTTCTAAATAGCCCACAATATTTACATTATTGACAGTCAAACCTTGCAAGATTGCAAAAGACCCTACCGAAACCACAAGCAATCATAAAACACCGCACACCATTTTATAACACCACATGCAAATAATTAAAAAAATTGAGCTCAGATCACCACTTTTACACACAGACAATCACAAACACAACATATGAAACTCAATTTAAAAAAAAAACATATAGACGGATTGATTAAAAAAATCGGTAATCTCAGCAGCATAATTCAATCATGATACTCAACTTCTTCATCCTCCTCTTCTTCATACTCACCTTCTTCATCTGCAGTTGCGTCTTGATATTGCTGGTACTCCGACACCAGATCATTCATGTTACTCTCCGCTTCAGTAAACTCCATCTCGTCCATCCCTTCACCTGTATACCAATGCAAGAACGCTTTCCTCCTGAACATGGCAGTAAACTGCTCGCTCACCCTCCTAAACATCTCTTGAATCGACGTGGAGTTCCCAACGAACGTCGACGCCATGGAGAGACCTCGTGGCGCTATGTCACATACGCTTGACTTCACGTTGTTGGGGATCCATTCCACAAAGTAGGATGAGTTTTTGTTCTGCACGTTTATCATCTGCTCGTCTACTTCTTTTGTACTCATTTTGCCACGGAACATAGCTGAGGCTGTTAAGTATCGGCCGTGACGCGGGTCTGCTGCGCACATCATGTTCTTTGAATCCCACATCTGCTGGGTGAGCTCAGGGACGGTGAGTGCGCGGTACTGCTGAGAGCCACGTGAGGTGAGAGGAGCGAAACCGACCATGAAGAAGTGGAGACGAGGGAAAGGGATGAGGTTCACTGCAAGCTTTCTTAGATCAGAGTTAAGCTGACCAGGGAATCTAAGACAGCATGTAACTCCACTCATAGTTGCAGAGATGAGATGATTCAGATCACCAACTGTTGCATTCAAACCATCAGCAAATAGAAATAATCATATACATAATTAAAGATATGGGACGTATGAGCGGCTTACAGCTAGGAGTGGTAAGCTTAAGTGTTCTAAAACAGATATCATAAAGAGCTTCATTATCCAGAACCATACACTCGTCAGCATTTTCAACCAGCTGATGAACTGAAAGCGTCGCATTGTATGGCTCAACCACTGTGTCTGAGACCTTGGGTGATGGGAAGACAGAGAAAGTAAGCATCATTCGATCAGGATACTCTTCCCTGATCTTAGATATCAACAGAGTTCCCATCCCAGACCCTGTGCCTCCACCAAGCGAGTGACATACTTGAAAACCTGAAAAACAAAAAAATCATAATTATACAATTCTTTGTTCTGAAACAAAGAGTTGTTAACATACCCTGAAGACAGTCACAATTCTCAGCCTCCTTGCGTACAACATCAAGAACAGCATCAATAAGCTCAGCTCCTTCAGTATAATGCCCTTTAGCCCAGTTGTTTCCAGCACCAGATTGCCCAAAAACAAAGTTATCAGGTCTAAAGATTTGACCATAAGGTCCAGTTCTAACACTGTCCATAGTACCAGGCTCAAGATCCATGAGAATAGCACGTGGAACATATCTTCCACACGATGCCTCGTTATAGTAAACATTAACTCTCTCTAACTGCAGATCAGAGTCTCCAGTGTAACGGCCAGTGGGATCAATCCCGTGCTCATCACATACTACTTCCCAGAACTTGGAGCCAATCTGGTTACCACATTGTCCACCTTGAATGTGAAGGATCTCTCTCATCTTCACAGAATCAAAATGCACAAACAAGAATCTCGATTAGAAATTGAAGTTTAAACAATACGTATCAGATTCAAATCACGATCAGATCAATGTCAATAATACTGAAGTACATCTCGCGATGCGAAGATCAAACAGATCCAAACAAATCAAACCAAGATCACTATACAGTTCCAAGTGATTCTGAATCAAAGTGTGAGATCAATCAAGAGTGTACGCACAAGCAAGAATCTCGATTAGAAATTGAGGTTTCCAAATTACGATCAGATCGAATGTCATCAAACTACATCTCGCGATCGGAGATCAAACAGATCTATAAAAATCAAACCAGGATTACTATACAGTTTCAAGTTACTGTGGATCATAATGTGAATCAGATCAAGAGTGGATACATATCTATGAGAGAAGGATTCAATCGAAGTATCACAGTCACTAGTAGGTTGTTTATTCACTCAACTTCACTAGATTTTATCAGCGTGAAGAGAGGGAACTACGATATATAACGAGACTCAGCAGATTGAGATAGAGTAACTTACGGTGAAGAGAATGTAGAGATTCCCGGTGAGATCGAGTCGGACGGTGGCTCGATCGGAGTAAGAGAGGGAAGTGAGTGAAGATGCTGAGTTTTATTTTATTTTATTTATTGAAAAAGAGTAAGAAGTGGGAAATGTAATTTTAATCCAACGGCTGTTATTAATTCTATCTCTGAGAAGCTGGGTGCCGTTGGATGGTGAGATATTAGGTGGGTGTTGGGTGAGATATATACATAACTCTGGGGACGACTTGTGTTAGTAATTGGATTGTGATAGTTTAGAGCAGCATTTATCAAAACTTGACTCATTGAGGATAAACACCATTGCGGGTTTCAAGGTAACACCAATACAGGTGCTCTTAACTCTTCCATATCAAAACAATTACTATAGTTTATAGGCTATTAACTGTGTTCAATTCTATTATCAGCGTTGTGTGTCACATTTACACATCTCACAGTTTCTTAGATATGGAACTTGATCTGGTTAATAACTCAAAGAAAGTATATCCCACAAATAAACTCTCTATCTAGATATGCACATGTGTTCAAAAGCAGAGATTCATTACGGATAAATTGTCAAATAACAGATTCATTCCTGTTTAGGACATATTTTGGTGTTGACTGATTGTTACTCATTGTCATATGTTCAAACTCTCATGATATACTCAAATTTATTTAACCAATTTATTCAAAATCTTCTATTTAGCGCTTAGTAAACATAAATGAGGTCAATTTTTTATATGATTTTTGTACAAAATTAGCTGAATAACGGTAAATTTAAAATTCTAATAAAGATTTGCAAAATATAATAATAAATACGTTAAACTAGGTGTTTTGTCCGCACTTGCGGGCTTAATAATTTTACTAATATCTATAAATAAATATATAATCAATTTATGTAAATTATAATAAATTATAGTTCATAGACTCAAAATATTTAATAATAAACTAAACAAATTCTTTCTATATATAAAATTATCATCATATAAATAATTTTCATTACACAACTTATATTTGAAAATACTCATGAACTTAAAACATTTAGTAATAAATTAATATCATTTTTAGACATAACAAAAAAGTATAAAAAATTATCTTTAATAATGTTTTGGATAACACAATATAAATTATCTATACATAAATTCTTTGTGAATTGATTTTTCATAATTAACTATATATTAACAAATATAATTATTTTTCAACGTTAATAAAGACTTTATAACACAATATAAAAAAGTTAGATAAAAATAATTATCAAATTCATGAGATTCATTTTTTAATTTATAATTAATTATATGTTAACAAATATAATTATTTTTCAAGGTTGATAAAGACTTTATCACATAATATAAAAAAAATTAAAATAAGGATGATTATCAAATAAATGAAATTCGTTTTTAATTTATAATTAATTATATATTAACTAATATAATTATTTTTCAAGGTTAATAAAGACTTTATAACCCAATATAAAATATTTTTAGATAAAGCTAAATCTTAAATCATTGAAATTCGTTTTTTATTTATTCATTAAGTATATAAACGATATTAACCGCTCTAATATTCAACGTGAAAGTTATAAATTAATCAGCAAATTCACTTAAATTTTATAATTGAAAATATATTATTAAGATAACAATCTAATATAAAATAATTAACATATTTTCTAAAAATATAATATTATTAACATAAATTTTTATTTTATTTTATAATTTATAATAAATTATTAAAACATGAAAATAAGAAAAATAACCTAAAATCATAGAGAAGTTGACAACTAAGCAAATTTCCTTCTAAAATAATAATTGAAAAATATATTTTTAAGATAACAATCTAATACAAAAGAATTAACATATTTTCTAAAAATATAATATTATTAACATAAATTCGTTTTTATTATATAATACATTATTAAAACATGAAAATAAGTAAAATAACCTAAAATCATGGAGAAGTTGACAACTAAGCAAATTTACTTCTCAAATAATGTTATAGATTTTCAAAATCTTGTAATAAATAAGTAGAAGATCCATTAACGTCAAAATTGATCTAAGAACCACTTAAACTGTAACTGATAAATTAAAATAAATAGAAAGATAGAAATGAAATACAACAAAAATAATTAATTTTATTAATTCACCCAAATTTGTTATGGAATGATTTTTTTGTATATATTTATTTTGGAATTGATGGAATGAGTATTTTATTAGTGAATATTTTTGGGGAATTAATAAAATAAATCATTTCTATTTTATTCGAAAAATCAACAATCATTTCTATCATAAAGTCAATGATTGTATTAAACACCCCTGGTCAAATACTAAAAATAACAACAAACCATAAACAAAGTTATATCTTCAAATGATTTGTTCCAACTTACTCCCAACATATAAAAGATCTGAATCACATTTCACTTTACAAGTTACTAAAACAGAAACCTGTGATCTATGCATGGCGATGACCATGATGGTACTTGCCCATCCTAAGAAGAACGTACGTCATCTCCTTCTTCTTCTTCTCTTCTGCATGTCCATCATCATTCTCCTGCTTCTCGTCTCTGACACCAAACACTCTCTCACCAAACCAGGAACCACTTCCCGACAGAACCCTCCTTTCACTTTCCTCATCAAAGTCCTCACCTATAACCGTCTCCACTCTCTCTCCCGCTGTCTCAAATCTCTCTCCGCCGCGGAGTACGGCGTTGCAGGCGACACAGGACGCATTCACCTCCACGTCTATGTTGATCATTTCTCACTTTACAGGAATGATACACCGGTGGAAGATAACTTGAGGGGCACGAAAGAGATACTGGACTTTGTGGATAAGTTTGAGTGGAGATATGGGGAGAAACTGGTTCATTACCGGACCAGTAATGCTGGCTTGCAGGGTCAGTGGCTGGAGGCTTGGTGGCCAAGCTCAGATCACGAGTTTGCGTTTGTTGTTGAAGATGATCTTGAGGTTTCTCCACTTTACTACGGGTTTCTTGAGCGCGTGATTCGTTACTACTACTATGATGCTTATAATTTCAACCCTTCTGTCTATGGAGCTTCGCTTCAGAGACCATGGCTCGTTCCAGGTACCATATTGTTTTCTATGATTCAGCAGCTCAGGTTATAGAGACATGAAGTAGGGATTCATGTGCTCATGATTAGTGTTTGGTCATTTCCTACAAATATCTGATATAGTCACTTATTGATGTAGTGATTTAGAAGCTAAGGTTGTAGACACAGGAAGTAGGGGTTCTATATGTCCTCATGGTTAGTGTTTGTCAATTCCTAGAAATGTCTGAACTAATCACTTCTTGATGTAGTATTTTGCAACTCAGGTTGTAGACACACAGGAGCTAGGGATTCATGTCCTCATGGTTAGCATCTGAAACAGTCACTTATTGATGTAATGATCAAATGCAGGTGAACATGGAAATAAACTACAAGTAGATCCCAAAACGAATCTTTTCTTATACCAGTTAGTAGGAACTTGGGGACAGCTTCTCTTCCCAAAACCATGGAAAGAGTTCAGACTATGGTATGACGAGCACAAATCAAAGGACAAGAAGCCTTACCTTACTGGCATGGTAACTTTTGACTCTCATTCTCTTCCTCATGGGATGTCATTTATATCTGCTATGTGTTTGCTCAGGTGACAGATGAATGGTACAGAGCGATAGGAGAACGAATATGGACACCATGGTTCATAAAGTTTGTCCACTCACGAGGCTACTTCAACATCTACACCAATTTCCCAAACGAGAGTGCTTTAAGCGTCTCTCACAGGGATGCTGGTGTTAACTATAGAGAAACCGTTGGACCAGACTCTCAGTTACTTAACAAAAGCTTCATCGGTTCTGATTTTCTCAAACTCCATCCCTCGAGGAGCCTTAAGTGGTATGACTACTGTTTCAGTGAAGTTGTACCTGGTAGAGTTGTGAGGAGCTTGTATGAACTTGGCACTGTTCTTCCTTCTGTGCAGAGAGAGAAAACCATAGCTCTGGTTAGTCTATTTGCTGCAGAGGAGAAGTTTATCAGGAACTTACTCTGCCACTTCGAGAAGATTAATACTCGAAACCACGTTTTTATAGGTTCTAGATCAGAGCTGTTCTATGATCTTGCAAGAAGGGGACATCCTGTGATTGATGCGGATATGTTTATAGAAAGTAAAACTTCGCATACAGACTCAGTCAAGGAGGCTTTAGGCAATGCTTACGTTGTTAAGAAATGCTTAGAGCTTGGATACAGCACATGGGTGTTTTCAAGTAATGTGCTTTTGGTGGATGAAGGTCTACTCCTTGACAGAATCAGATCAGAATACGACTTCTATATCGATGAAAGCTCTGGAGTTTTGATTGTTCAGTCTTCACTGGCCACTCAAAAGCTATGGAGCAATGAGTTTATGCCTAGCATCGTATCCTCAGCAACGAAGAATCTATCCCCAAAACATGGTCTAGATTTTATTCATCTAGTGAAAGAGCTTGTGGAGCAAAAGGGAAATATGATAAAGACTGTAGAGACGATGAGTATTTCAGAGAATATCAATGCCAAGAGCGTAAACCAATCAATGGGAGAAGCCAAACCGGTGGTGTATTGGTTACCTGAGGTGGGTTCCAATATTATTCAGACAAAGCTTGCGGAACTGAACTTGTGGCTCGTTGATGATGATCTCTCCTGCAAGGCTGTGATTTGTCATAACTCAACTTTATTAAAGTAAGAAGGGGAAGCTAATGGCATTGGAGTGCGTCACACGGAGCTGTGTGAGGGATGAGTTATTTAGTTTTTGTTATTAGGTTCATTGTATACCTGATAAGAGATGTAAAACTGATTGTGATTTACATTATCAAAGAAACCAAGTGTAACTTTGTTTCTCAAGTGAGCAAAAGGCTTTCTTAAACCTCTCAAAAAGCGATCATGCAAGAATTGTTGAAAAAATATTTGAACAAACTGAAAATTCACAAAGGGAGATCAAGAACCCGTGAGAAGTTATTGTCGCTTCAGAGAGGGAAGCAAGCAGTCGTAAACAGTTACTAGTCGCTGTGTCACAGTTAGCTTGTACGTTGTTTGCTGTTGTGGCCTTCCTAACTCGATAAGATCTTGTTTCACTCTGTTTATACAAACACATCAGTCAGTTCTGGCACACATAACCAAACACACAAAAGTCTAAAAAGAGGGCAAATAAAACCATGAGTTAAGCGTTTTGTATCATGAGACAACTGGCTTAGGTGTTTTCTATCATTCATTTCGAGCAGACAATGATTTTGATTCTTTATGATTGATTATTTTGTTTTGAGCTAAACATTTAATGGGATCAGAGTGGAAACTTACAAATCCCACTCGCCGCTTGTTTTTGCAGGAGTCTCCACAACCCGGTACAAACGCTCAAGGCTGTATATTAGCAAACCAAATACGGTCTCTGCATCCTTATCCTGTAACATCATCAAGAAACGTCCAGAAGCTTAGGATTTCTTCAGAGTCATTCGTTTAATGATATCGATTAATGATAACAGGGAAAAAATAAAATAGTGGACATCTTACTCGTCCTTGTTCAATGTAGCTCTGATACTGCATAATTCTCTTTTCAATTTCAACGACAAGTAGCCTCCTGTGAATACGTGCAATTCTTCCACGTCCTTGAGCTTTGCTATCCTATTCATACCAGTGAAACCAAACGGAATAAAGATAACAATAGCTGCATCATTGATTCTGCACAATGAGTCTCATAACTAAAGTCGAACAACATATATCAATTGGTTTGGCCTGGATTATCAATCTTTATCACCTGTTTAAGCCATGTCCGAAGCAATGAGAGCATACCAAGACTGAGAAAGAAAGCAGGCAATGCAGCTAGAATGGCAAAGTTTATTTCATTCGCACGGAGTATCTGTTCCAGTTCAAGCATGGCTCTGCAGGAGAAGAATATTCAGTTATATACAAAATAATTAAGGGATCTGTATTACAGTTAACTTAGAGATACTGGTTTACTGAAATTACGTTTCTATATCCAGTTTAAGCTTCTGGACCTGAAAGACAAAACAATTTTGATGTGACTAGAAGCTAACAAACAGTAATCAACAGCTTCATGCCAATAAGTTCAAATTACCTGGATAAGCATACCCCGGACTAGCTCTCCACTAAAGAGGTTGTGAATAGGGTGCACAAGTTCTTTTTCATACCTGAAATTAGAAGGAAAAATTCATATCTATACTTATCTCATGTGTTGAGACTTCTATCTTGTGGTAACTATCACATGAAATTATTATACAAAAAAATGAGAAAACGCCCATGATTTATTCACTAGCCAAGATTAGAATGTAGCATGAGTAAAGCCTCAATTATTTTCTTGCCTAAATGGATACATGATGTAGTCGTTGCAAATGCAATTTAATGTGCCTTTAGCTGCCTAAAAAAGATTAATGTTCAGAGTTGTACCGGTGCATAACAACTTCAAGCATCTCCTGATCGGTTGCATTATCTGATACCTTTTTGGGCGTAGCCTGCTCGCAGAAATTCCTCAGCATTCTACATAGCAAGTAGAAAATTAAGAGTCGAGCCAAAAATAAGAAGCACTAAAGGAATGATTACAGATATTTTTGGTTGTCGTTACTTCCCCAGATCAGTGAAACTATATAAATATAACAAGTGAATTGATATATACAATAGCAAGGAAATACAACCATGATAAAAAGCATCAAGAAGGAAATGAATATCAACCTATGCAGTGAGTCTTGCGTCAGCTGCACTTCTTCAGCTTCCATGACACCCTTGTGTCTTTTCCGGAAAGTATCAAAAAGCTCATCCCTAATGGCAAGCAGCTGCAAGATCAGAAGACCAATTCAAAAATTTCCAAGCACTTCGGACCAGGATGAAAAGTTACTGTTCTCATTTTCAATCCGAGAAAGGCTAAACACAAACCGGTTGCTCAACATGATCACTGAAGAAGCTCACGGTTGCTTCTTTTGCATCATGCATCCAATTCTCGATGTCAGAACTTCCCATCAAACTACTGTGGCGTAGTAGCCATATAGAAAAGACAGAAAGGCCAATGGCACCACATGTATACCGGACCCAGTACAGGGTCATCCTCCTTGGCTTTCGATGTTTGCCTACCTATTAAAAATAAATAAACAGAGACGAAAAAATATTTAAGCCATGTTCGTTTAGTCAACGTCGCGATCACACTAGCGTCTGAAATTTAAAGGGAGAATTAGAGAAGAGTTCCATGTTCAGTAGACGCAGCGATCAACACTTCCATGTTTTTCAGTTGCAGGGAAGAGAGAGAAAAGATAAACAGTGACGCTAGTTATTTCCGCGTCACAAACATCACCGGATTCCATCGATTACTGTGACGCGCCTCTTTGTTTTTCTTCACCAACGTCCAGTGCAGAAGAAAATTACAAACAAATTTCAGACGCTAGTGTTAATAGCGGCGTTTAATAAACGAACAGGGCTTTAGAGTTGATTTCAGATGAAGATTAACGATGATTTCTGTCAACAAGAATACTGGCAACTATGGATAAACTACAGCCACACCTACCATAACTGATAAATATGAGTTAAGTTTCTCCAAATTCTTATGAACGAGGTTGATCGCATCTGTAAGTTCACAATCAGTCCACTGGGATCCTTCTTCGTTAACCTCAGGCAGTCGATCAAATACAAGAGGCATTGAGTAACTTCCATCAATAGAAGAATCAGACTGCAAATGTGACGCAAGTCAATTAACTAGTAAGAGAAACATAGAAAAAGAAGAATCAGGGTCGCTACAACAATCTACCACTGTCTTTACCTCACGCGCAGCATGTAAATGGCTGAAAGAAGCCTCCAAGTTCGAAAACAATCGATCAATAACAGCCAACAATGATGGCAGTGACTTCTCCGGATTCTTCAAAAGCTCTTCACCACGTTTATCCAACTCAACATAAAGCTAAAGAACCCATTGAAAGTAGTGAGTCACAAGCACATAACTCTCTAACGGCAATCATTATGATAAAAAAGGGAATGAAATTTTGATGATAACCTGAGCAAGAAAGGAAGCGAGTGAAGATCTCAACTCCATCAAAACCCTCATCCTATCGAACATATGAGACGAAGACGACTGACAAAGATGCTGCATAGCAGAATCCTCACTAAGACTTTTGCGGACAAGCTTCGTACTCTCGTCAACAAAAGCTACAGGTCCTCTCTCGAATATCATGAAGTAAGCTTTCCGAGCATTAGAGTCCTGTAATCAAAACGATTAAAAGGAATGTCGTTTGACTATATAATCAAGTACTATATTGATTCACCTCAGCTCTAGATTGCCAAAACTCCAAACTCTTCTGGATATCATGCAAGTTGGAGAGAACATCAGCCATTATCTCCTCCAACACAACGTAAATCCTAGACGTATCCGCCGAGATATTGCTGAAGATAATCAAACAATGTATGCTCACAAAAGTCAACTTAACAGTGTTCTAAAAACCGGTCTAGGCGAATCGGATTCAAAAATTCGGTCTAGGCGCCTGATTAATCAATAATCCTATATAAACCTCCTAACTAGCACGTAACGATTTATTGAACATTGGCAGTGTTCTAAAAATCGGTCTAAGCGCGCCTATTCGGCAAATCGGATTCAAAAATTCGGTCTAGGCGCCTGATTAATCAATAATCTTATATAAACCTCCTAACTAGCACGTAACGATTTATTGAACATTGGAAGTGTTCTAAAAATCGGTCTAAACGCGCCTATTCGGCAAATCGGATTCAAAAATTTGGCCTAGGCGCCTGATTAATCAATAATCCTATATAAACCTCCTAACTAGCACGTAACGATTTATTGAACATTGGCAGAGTTCTAAAAATCGGTCTAAGCACGTCTATTCTGCAAATCGGATTCAAAAATTCGGCCTAGGCGCCTGATTAATCAATAATCTTATATAAACTGCCTAACTAGCACGTAACGATTTATTGAACATTGGCAGATTTCTAAAAATCGGTCTAAGCGCGTCTATTCTGCAAATCGGATTCAAAAATTCGGCCTAGGCGCCTGATTAATCAATAATCCTATATAAACCTCCTAACTAGCACGTAACGATTTATTGAACATTGGCAGATTTCTAAAAATCGGTCTAAGCGCGTCTATTCTGCAAATCGGATTCAAAAATTCGGCCTAGGCACCTGATTAATCAATAATCTTATATAAACCGCCTAACTAGCACGTAACAATTTATTGAACATTGGTAGGGTTCTAAAAATCGGTCTAAGCGCGCCTATTCGGCAAATCGGATTCAAAAATTCGGTCTAGGCGCCTGATTAATCAATAATCTTATATAAACTGCCTAACTAGCACGTAACGATTTATTGAACATTGGAAGAGTTCTAAAAATCGGTCTAAGCGCGCCTATTCCGCAAATCGGATTCAAAAATTCGGCCTAGGCGCCTGATTAATAAATAGTCCTATATAAACGCCTAACTAGCACCTAACGATTTATTGAACACTGGTAGTGTTCTAAAAATCGGCCTGATTAATCAATAGTCCTATATAAACCTCCTAACTAGCACCTAACGAGTTATTGAACATTAGTCAAATATAATCAGTAAAACACGAAACACCAGTATCAGAGAGCAGCGATCATTCAAATCAGAAGATATGAAGCTTACGTAGACGAGCATGGGAAGTCAGACGGCAGAGGAAGAGGAAAAGAGATGTGTCGTTTTTTGGTGAACGTTTGGCGATAGAGATTGGAGAATTTTCCGGGGAAAATGGAATTAGAAGTTGGAAGCAAGGAAGCGACGCGATTCCAAAGGTAGCTGGAGTAGAGAGGAACTAGGTCTCTGATCGTCGTCGATGGGGAGGACCCGTTCGCCGGAGGTTGAGAATCCATCGTGTTTTTTCTTTTTCCCGGTAAGGAGATTTGACTTGGAGAATGTTGAAAGATGAATGAATTATTGGGCTGTTATTGGGCTAAAATGACTTAACATACTGGGCCAATATGTATACCTTTTTGGTTTCTTAAGATTTATTGTTTGCATGCTTTTAGAGTTTTAGTGGTTAGTTACTTTATGTATCGACAAGTACAATAGAACCTCTATAAATTAATACTCCATAAATTAATAATCTTTCTAAATTTTGCTGGTCTTAATTTGGGTCGATTCAAAATTTGACACAAATCGATAAAATAATAAGATAATAACTTTTTAGAAAATTCTATGTAAATATATGGTCTCATTATAATCATAAATTAATAATTTATATTTATACATATTTTATATAAGTAATAATCTATTATTATACTGTTTGTTTTATATTTACAAGGAAATTCTCTTTATATTTTCTTGACAGTTAATAAATTGTTGATGAGATTTAGTAATATTATATCTAAAACCATATTTAAATTCTAAGAAATATATATTATATACACCAAGTAATATAAGAAATTTAATATAAATGTTAAATTTCAAAAAAAGATAATAAATATTTATATCCTAAAATAAAATATTTTTTTATTTTAGAATAAATATATCTTAAAATAAAAAATCTAAATAAGGAAACTTTGGTAAATTAATATCTCTATAAATTAATAAAATTTCAAAATCCCGACATTATTAATTTATAGAGGTTTAACTGTATATGCTCGATTTTCAATTTTTTTTACGTGTATGGACACTACAACTTCAAAAGCAGAGTCAAGAAGATGAGACATGTTTAAACCATTTTTCTACGTAAAAATCAATTTAAATGGTACTACATGTAGAATCAGTGAATAGATTTGACATCAGCAATGTCCAAAATCACATACATCTACAAAATAAAATTGCTAATAAGCTAATCCCACTGGATTAATTAATTCAATTATTACCATTATTATGATGGTTATTCAGATTCTGAAGTTGAGTTTCTGTGTTGTTAAGAGAATCCATCCCATCACAAATAACTACTTGAGACATTATAAACTTAGAGATAGAACTACTGTAATTAGTTCTTATATCTCATGATTTAACGAACCAAAAATAAGCTACTGGGAGAATCATAATTGATAGGTTCGTCGTTTCATAATTAATATATATACCAACAAACTTATATCAAAAATTGTTATATACATTAATTTGTCAAAGAGACAAAACTATAATAAAATTATATATATAGGTGATTGTGAATATCTTCATCATTTATTAATGTTAATTTAAATATATACAAGATAGATGTAAATTATAAGTGATAAACTATTATATAAATGTAAAAATACAATATTAAATAAAATATTGATAAAAAAGGAAAACCAGCAAAATATATTTAAAAAATTATGATGATAAATAAATTTGAAATATAAAATATCATAGAATAAATATTATGTAAAACAGATTAAACCAGATAAAATCAAATAATAATTATTATTTAGTTAGTCATTGTAAATGTAAAAGTAAAATATACTTGTTTAACTATTTGAGTAAAATAAAAAGTAAATATTGGAACTCCAAAATTTGTCTTACTAGTTTGAAGTAACACATAAGGGATTATTATTTCTTACTGGTTTGATGTATTCAAAATAAGTGTACAAGTAACTAGTGTCCAGGTTAATAATGAAAGAAGAAGTTAAGTTTAATTTAATCGGATTAAACTCTATGTGTAATTGCCACGCAGCATATAATAGTAATAATAGATCTTTTTTCTTAATATTATAATAAAATGCCTTTTACTCTCTTGTAAGTAGTTATAATAAGTTCATACATCTCTTGATTTAACGGACCTAAAAAAAACTACAGAGAAAAATATAGTCATAATAACACTAGTAATAGATAATAAGAGAAATTATTTGGACTTGGCGAATCCAAGTTTAACAGTTCCTGGAGTCTGGTGGTCCCAAACAGTATGAAATGCTCGAATGAATGGCGTGCCAAGTTGCCTACACCATCAAAAACCACATAAATGATTTGTAAAACCAAAAAAAATAGTTGAAGATATTTTAGCAAAAAATAGTTATAAGTATAAAAAAAAAATAAAGATGAGAAACATAACCATAAATCAGTCGTACTAGCCGCGAATACACTCTTGCATTTTCCATTCCGTTTCTCCATGTACTAGGAATTTTTTTTTTATATATAGAAAATGAGTAGGGAAAATATAAAAATAAAAATCTGTATATATGTACTCTCTGGCGACTTACATCACGTGGTGTGAGGGTAAAAGTTTTTGCGGCTATTGTGAAGCTTATAACTTCAGTCAGCTTGTCATAATTGGAGCAGTCGGCTGCTACTCCTATTTGCTTATTAATCTTCTCGATCAAATCCTAATTGTAATTACAGAAAAAATGGTTAAAATTTACTTTTACCAAATGTCGAAATGATAGAGAGAATTAATTAAAAAAAAGAAAGAAAGAGTTACCGATGGACCACGAATGTATGTACTCCCCGAGTCCACAATAGCATTGCATCCCTTGGAGCAAACTTTCGTGTCAATTTTGCCCACAAAAAAGGAGGATATTTTGAACATGTTATGCGGCCCTTCAGCAGCAACGTAGGTATGAGCTCCCGTGAAGTGCGCTGGGTCTGTACCTCCAAAGACTATTTCCCCACCTTCTTTACCAGAGTCACCGTACCGTCGAAGCCATATCGAGAACACTTTCTTTTTAACCACCCCTTGCTCCATCATTGCTCTCCAGATGGGACGAGTTCCTGTAATAGACGATTTCGATAGGCCTGAAAGTCCAAATATGCCATCCCACGGCCTTTCGTAAATCCGTCTACCTGGAGCTTCAGTTGCCTCGATGAACGGTTGCTGCTTGATGCGTAACCCGCCGACCTCGACGGTCTCGTTGCTTATGAACCCCTTCAGAGAACCTGCTCCATATCTGATTTCTACTTTCCTCCCTGTGTATATAGCAGATAGGTTAAAAGTTCACTTACACAAAACCCACCCAGGGGTTGACTACCCACTAAGATTTGACACCTCTAAAATGGCTAACTAAATTGTATTGAATTTTATTAAAGAATATCTAATAAAATGGTTATTCTATACACATTGACACCACAAAAAAAAAAATCAGGGTTCAATTCCCCTTTGACTAGGGATTGACAAAATATCCATAAATTTTGATTCGATTAGTTATATGTTTCGATTTGAACTTAAAAAATCCGGATATCTGTAACTCCACGAATCAAAACAAATACTAAAATACGATATCCATAAGAAACGAAATAAATCACAAATACTAATATTTTTAAGAACATATATCCGATCCGATCCATTATATACATATATATACATATATTTAAATAAGTATATACAAAGTTATATCAATATTCTATTTTATATAAGATTTTATTTATTAAATTTATTATCTTAATTTTTAGAATGATTAAAATTAAATACAATTTTATTTTTGTAATAAAATATTATTATTTTATATTCTTTTGGATTTTTATTAATTTTAAATTATTTTATTTTATTTTTACGGATTGAATCGAATATTCAGTAAAATCTAAAAAACCGAATATTTAGGACAACAAATATCCGGACTATTACGAATCGAATCGAATAATTGATTATTTGAACAAACGAATTGAATCACGAATACCTTCAAATATCTGGATATTCAATATGTGCCACTTTGATACCATTTCATCTTAATTTTTTTTATATACGACCCCAATTAAATATCCTGCTAGGTCCGTCATTGAACCCACCAATTATATATCTCACTATACATACATAAAAATTAAAAGATAACCATATATACGGAAAATTATACAGCTTACCATCGCGTTTGAAAGTGCTTGATTTGCTTGAATTATACTTTTTGCTTCTCGGTTTAGGCCATTTTAAAGAAGGAACCCACAGGTCGAAACTCCCAGTGTCAAACAGCACGTTGAAAGGCTGACCCGGAGTTCCTACCATAATTTGCCCGAAGTAAGTATTGTCATTATCATTTGTTAAAGCCACATCGTCCGTACTCCACAAAGTTTTTGTTTTCAGTGGGATTCTCATTATGGGTTGACCTAGCAAAATATAGAATTAAAGAAAATGAATTATTTATACGTATGAAATAGTCATATATATATATATATACAATTTTGAAAAATAAAAATTACCTGTAGCATGTTGAGAGACAAGGAAAAGAATAAGAACAGCAGCTAAAAACCTTAAGCTAGTACTCATGGTTTTCTATCTTTCTTCTGTTTTTTTTTGTTTTTTTTTGTTTTTTTTTGTTAAAGTTGACTAATACCGTATTTATAGAAAACGTAGAGGGGGGAGGACAGTTCAACATTTAATTAATATAATTTTTCATTTTGAAATATAGACCAAAAATTTAAGAGCATTATTACTGGTGGATATCTTCCCATGAGTACCTAATGTATATGATAATAACATTGATTACATCCATAATTAAAACTGAAAATAAAAGAAAATCATAGCAATAGAAAGAAGACACCTTACATTTGAGTCTCTTTTCAGAAATAATCTTTTTGCAGAGAGATGTACCTCACTAATTCTCATTCTCTTTTTACTTTTTGCATTTAATTGCATTAATATTATGATAAGAAACTATGTTAGAGCTTATCACTAATGATGGTCTTTAGCATGTTTGTGATAATCTAATTTGTTCTTTGTATAAAACGAGGATAATATCATTTTGTCCCATTTTTGTCTTTATTTTTTGACTAATTTTGTCTTCATTATACTTTTTATTTATCAAAAAAATAATATATATATATATATATATATATATATATATATATATATACAAACCCAATAGATTATAAAAAGTACAAATAATTCAAAAACTTCTCATATCAATGATTAATATTTTTTTGGATAATCTTTTTGCAGAGAGAGATATACCTCACTAATTTTCACTCTCTTTTTACTTTTTGCATTTAATTGCATTAATATTATGATAAGAAACTATGTTAGAGCTTATCACTAATGAGGGTCTTTAGCATGTTTGGGATAATATAATTTTGTCCTTTGTATAAAAAAAGAGGATAATATCATTTTGTCCCATTTTTGTCTTAATTTTTTGACTAATTTTGTTTTCATTATACTTTCTATTTATCAAAAATAAAAATATATATACAAACCCAATAGATTATAAAAATTACAGATAATTCAAAATATTCTCATATCAATGATTAATATTTTTTTAGATAGTCTTTTTGCAGAGAGATATGCTTCACTAAATTTCACTCTCTTTTTACTTTTTGCATTTAATTGCATTAATATTATGATAAGAAACTATGTTAGAGCTTATCACTAATGAGGGTCTTTAGCATGTTTGGGATAATATAATTTTGTTCTTTGTATAAAAAAGAGCATAATATTATTTTGTCCCATTTTGTCTTAATTTTTTGACTAATTTTGTCTTCATTATACTTTCTATTTATCAAAAAAAAAAAAAATATATATATATATATATATACAAACCCAATAGATTATAAAAAGTACAAATAATTCAAAATATTCTCATATCAATGATTAATATTTTTTGGATACTAAAACTTAATAGATAAAATTTTCAAATTTTGTTCTTGGATATAGTGATATTTGTTGTTCGTAAGAATATGTAATCTACAAACAGCTAAATGTTCGAAGATTAGTGGGTTTTGAGTTCGAATCTCTTGTCTTATCTCTACACCGAGTAAAATGTCTAATTTACGGATAATCATGACTAAATATCTCAAAAATGGAACGTACAATTACCAAATACTTTGAAGATATATGCAAATCTTTTCTATTTCCATATCTGAGTACAATCGATTTTCTTAACAAAAATGAAAAATAACTTGAACAAAATATCGGGGGTGATTGGTTGAGGTTTAACTAATGATTTTAACTTTATTTTCTATCTACAACCATATAAATCACCAATCATGATTTAAGTAGTTTTTAAAGGTAAAGTAAAAAAAATAAAAAAGTTATTATAGGAGCCTTATTTTCTAAAACAAAAAAATAGTGTTGTAGGATTACTGTAGGAATATCTTTTCTTTTTCCATTTTTCTCATTTAATTTTATAGTTACATTAGATACAATTACATTCAAAAATTTTACAGACTAATTTCTACCGTAATTTTTTTACAGTTACATTTAATCTCTTCAATCCACAGAAAAAAATAGTGAAGAATATAAAGAATCATATAGCATACAAACTAAAAAAAATGCATTAAAAATTTAAAACAACATTTATTTTGAAACATAAATTTGACTCTACAAGAACAATTAAAATGAACAACTGAACATGGTAAATTTAACGCTCTCACTTGCAAAAGAATTGAAAAGGTATATAAATTAGAGTTGAGACCAATCACATTTGTTTGAAATTTGGGACAAACCACCGAGCATTAGATAACTGAATAGGCAAAAAGATACTTGGATGTGGTCTTTCAATTTCTTGTGTGCCAAGATTGAAGATAAGTATATCTTTTTCACTCCAAAAATGACCCAAATCAGAATCACAATAGTTATTATGATTGCCACTGAAATATATTGAATTTCCATTGACTCCTTGGATGGTGTTGGCAAGCACGGTGATACCAAGATCCAAAAATATAGCTTCTTCCTCTCCCAAAGAATCAAGTTTCTCCCACTCACTATTTGATGAATCCATCTTGTAGATGCGGAAGTGCCAAACATCAGAATTGCACAAAACTATGCTCTTAACCCTCAAAACTTCACCAGTCACTCTGACTACAAGATTTTCATTCTTGATCTTCCCTACTTGAAGACCATCATAGTAGAAAACATCCTCTTGCTTTCTCGAATAATCATAGTTAACTTGCGTCTCAAAGATTTGTCGCGGGATATCTTGAGAAAAATCAAAGACTTTGACATCACGAGAACTAGTATACAAGTAAAGTTGATCATCTTTGTATACCATGTCAAAAGCAAAGTTGAAAAGCTCAATTTGTTTCCAATATTTATCACCTTTTCTGGAGTAAACCATAAATCGGGGCTGGATTATCCATATAACCACATAATCTTTGGTTTTCTCGTCGAACCAGAATGAAACATCTCTGTTGTTATCCAGTTTTACAAGAAACATATCATCTTCACTCTCTACAATGCTAAGTTGAGACTTCATTGAAGGCAGATCGATCTTCTCACAGGTGAATATATTCAAAATGTATAATAGATTGTATTGATGATCGTCTTGCATCAAGAGCCAGCTTCCATAAGTAGCCAAACAACTACTATTTGAAAAGTTGACACCTAGGTTTTGAAGTCTATATAACTTGTCTCTTTTTTCCTCGGGATTAAACAAGAGACAGTAATCTTTACCTTTTTCTGGAAATAGAATCAACCAAGGGATTTGATTTTTTGGTGAAGATTTTTTGGATGCATAGTGCCAAGATGAACAAACAGATTTAGCCCTTTGAAAATCTGCAAAGCCAAGACGTTCTAAAACCATCTGAATGAGATCTGAAGGAAGCTTTGACCACCTGTTTGGTTCCATCTCACCACAACTCACTACTTGGGACATTTTAGAAACTAGAAAGCTCTCTCTCTCTCTCTCTCTCTCTCTTTTTGGGTTATCACATTAGAGAGCTCCATCTCTTTATATAACTTTTAGCATGCACTACTCCAATCTAAAAAGATATATATCTCACGGTAATCAATTTTTCAGTAGAAAAAGTTAATTCTTTCTTGATTTAATATATTTGGAAATCATAATTTGGATGCATGTGTCCACAAGAAATGTGTAGATAGTAAGTAATTCATTAATTTGCTTAAATAAGTAAATTTTCATAAAGAAAAAAATCGTAACTTGATATTTTATATATAAAAAAATCATGGATGCATGTATCTCTATAATATTATTTGAGAAGTCAGTTTCTTATGTGTCGTTCTCACGTTCATTATCACGATGGTTGATTACATTGATACCCTTAATGAATTAAAAATAGTTGAAACTATTATTATTAATTATTTTATTTATAGTTTTTTCTTTTCAAAAATTTCCAAAAAGATATGTAATAGAAAAGCATTTTTTTATAAAGTCATAAAAACAAATTTAAAACGAAAATATATGTATATATAATATGATTTCATAAAAAGGAAAGTTGACAAAATAGTAATAACACATTTAAAATATTTTTAAATAACATAAAAATATGTATATATGATATAATTTCATAAAAAAGAAAAGTTCACAAAATAGTAATAATACATTTAAAAATATTTTTAAATAACATAAAATATACTTTTAGAGTAATAAAATAGTTTATAATTAGTCGTATTGAATTTTTATTTATTTTTCATATATTTAGTTGACTATAATATCTTTCAATTACAGAAAATTATCTAGAACTTATATTTTACTTATATAATATTATTTTCAAATACAATCACATTTTGTGTAGTGCTTATTTTTAAGAGATATTAAAAACTAAAAATAAATTTAACAATAAACATAGTTTGGTCAAAATAATTGTTCTAG